TACGAGACATATACCCCCCCCACACACACACTGTTCCATCGACGAATAATAATGATTTCACGAATCACATATTTACATGTAGAATAAATAGTGAATATCTAATTTACTCTGACAATAGCCTGTTATAACCCGGCCCTATTATAATTGTGTTTTACCACCTGCCTTTTTTGGGGCTTTCGTCAGAAGTATTGACCTACATACCAAAGCTTTCCTCCTGACTGACTGAATAACTGACTGGCTGATTGCTAACTAACTGACTGACTGGCTTGCTTGCTAATTGAGCTTCTGGAACTGGCTGGCTGAGTGGCTGGAACTAACACCTCTCCCTTGCTATCACTGATTAACTGTAGCTCACCTGTAAACGGTAAATAACTCTCTGAGAACGACTTAATCGATTAATTACTACACCATCGTACTCAAGGAACTAATTCATCATACGTAAAGGGATTAATTCATCATCCCCTATGAGATTAGGTCATCATACTCAAGGAACTAATTCATCATCCTCAAAGGGGTTAGGTCATCATAATTTCATACTCAAGGGATTACATCATACTCAAGGGATTACATCATACTCAAGGGGATCAGGTGAGAAGATTACATTAGCCTGTGTATACCAAGAGTTAAAGTTAGCCCAAGAGGGAGGGACGAAGGCAAGATAACCAATGACCAAACGTGATCTCCTGAAGCTGTTCCTGCCCCCCCTCCTTCCTGCCTTTGTTTACATACTGACGCACGTTGCCAGAGGGAGAATAATCGTCATCCGTATGCAAATTCATCCCAGATTAAGGCGATATAAAAAATGAGGAACATGTGAGGAAATGATGTGTGAAAATACATACATACATACATACATACATACATACATACACTCACTCAATTAAACACACGACACACTCAACACACTTCCACGAGTGAATCAATGAATGACTACGCGATTCAGTCAAGTCCTGAGAGAGAGAGAGAGAGAGAGAGAGAGAGAGAGAGAGAAAAGATAGATACATACAGAAACAATGAGAGAAAAAAGAGAGAGAAAGAGAAACGAAGATAGAGTGAAAGAGAAACGAAGATAGAGTGAGAGAGCCCCCAATTGAGCCCCGCGGCACAGCTCGCTAGCCAGTATCGGACATCTATCGTTAACTTAAAGCTCTCCAAATCCATTTTAGCGGTAATCGTTCACACCAGACCTGCTGCTGCTGCGTCTCTCTCTCTCTCTCTCTCTCTCTCTCTCTCTCTCTCTCTCTGATGGTGGTTGACCAGGACCTAGGCTTCAGTAAACACACACCTCCTTTAATACATATTGTTATGTGTGGTAATGAGGATAAAGTGAAAAAATAATACAGAAAAAGTCATTAAAAATCGCCAGAGGAAGAAAAGCCACGGGAAAAAAGTCATGGGGGGGGGGGAGACACGGAGAAAAGTAACGGAAAAAAATAATAAAAATAACCAAACTTTGCTACAGTATTTGAGAATTGAAAGAAACAAACCACAAAACCTAGATAACCTGTCCGTGAAACCCTCCATATAACGGAATTATATAGAGATACAAGTCCGCTACACTATAACCGCATCACTAAAAACAGGTTAAATATTTGAGTAGTCTCTCGAGAGGGCAATTTGGTGTCGATGGGGGTGATGGGGGGAGGGGAGAGGGGATGGGGGGGAGGAGAGGGATGGGGGAGGAGAGGGATGGGGGAGGAGAGGGATAGGATATTGGGTCTGGTAACTAGGCTCTTTATTCTCTGTCTTGGTTCGTTGTTGTTTTGGGGTCTACTGTCTCTATTTTTGTGTCGCCCCCCTTATTATTTTTATTCCCCCTTCAGCCCTTGTTATCTACTTGTTGTTTCAGTCCCCTGTTGTTACTAGTGTTTCAGCCCCCTGTTATTAGTGTTTCAGCCTCTGTTATTACTATTGTTTCAGCCCCTGTCACTAGTGTTTTAGCCCCCTGTTTCAGCCCCTGTACTAGTGCTTCAGCCCTATTATTACTAGTGCAGTCCCTGTTATTACTAGTGTTAGCCCCTGTTATTACTAATGTTTCCCCTTCTCTGTTATTACTGTGTTTCAACCCCTGTGTGTTCAGCTGTTATTACTAGTGTTTCAGTCCCCTGTTATTACTAGTGCAGCCCCCTGTTATTACTAGTGTTTCAGTCCCCTGTTATTACTAGTGTTTCAGCCCCCTGTCTAGTGCCAGCCCCCTGTTATTACTAGTGCTTCAGCCCCCTGTTATTACTAGTGCTTCAATCCCCTGTTATTACTAGTGTTTCAGCCCCCTGTTATTACTAGTGCTTCAATCCCCTGTTATTACTAGTGCTTCAGCCCCCTGTTATTACTAGTGCTTCAGCCCCCTGTTACAATACTAGTGTTTCAGCCCCTGTTATTACTAGTGCTTCAACTATTATTACTAGTGTTTCCAGCCCCTGTTATTACTAGTGCTTCAATCCCCTATTATTACTGAATTAGCTTCAGCCCCTGTTATTAATAGTGTTTCAGCCCCTGCTGTGCTAGTACTTCAATCACAATTATTACTAATTAGCTTCAATCCCTATTATTACTAGTGCTTCAACCCCCTGTTATTATTAGTGTTTTAGCCCCTGCTATTACTGGTGCTTTAATCCCTGTTGTGCTAGTGCTTTAATCCTGTTATTACTAATTAGCTTCAGCCCCTGTTATTACTAGTGCTTCAGCAATCCCTGTTATTACTAGTGCTTCAATCCTGTTATTACTAATTGCTTCAATCCCCTATTATTACTAGTGTTTCAGCCCCCTGTTATTACTTTAGTGCTTCCTTCCTACTTATTACTGAGTGCTTCAATCCCTGTTATTACTAATTTAATCCCTATTGTGCTAATTAACAACCCTGTTATTACTAATTAGCTTCAGCTGTTATTACTAGTGCTTCAGCCCCCTGTTATTACTAGTGCTTCAATCCCCTGTTATTACTAGTGCTTCAGCCCCCTGTTATTACTAGTGTTTCAGCTCCCTGTTATTACTAGTGCTTCAATCCCCTGTTATTACTAGTGCTTCAGCCCCCAGCCACTATTTGTGCTTCAGTCCCCTGCCCCCCTCAACACACATCTTGGACGATAAAATCAACACTTGCCCCGTTACAACTTTCAGTAATGAGTCCCACAAGCTTTAACACAGTCGACCAAAGTAAATCATTAACTACAACAACAATTCTCCTCCGTATAATAAAAACTTCCAAGACAACTAACCGAACTACTTCATCAAACCCCCAAAATGCAAAAAAAAATAAAATAAAAAAAACAAGAAACTAAAACAAAACAAAGAAACAAGAAAACAAGGAAATAATACAAGCAGTCATATCAAAACAAGGGGAAATAATACAAGCAGTCATAAAAATCAAAACAAAAAACAAGGTGAGGGTGGATTAGGGGAGTAAGGGAGATAATGGAAGTTTAAGTTACCCATAAGGAGAAATGTAAGGGGGTGGGAGAGGAGGAAGGGGAGGAGTGAGGAGGGAGGGGTAGTATGAGGAGAGAGAGAGAAGGGAGAGGGATCTACTATAATGAGGCGTCTCAGAAGGATGCACTGATTGGGGTCCTGCGGGAGAGAAGAGGGGAGGGAGGGAGGGAGGGTAAAAGGGAAGGAGAGAGGGAGAAAGGGAGGGAGAAAGGGAGGGAGAAAGGGAGGGAGAGAGGGAGGGAGGAAGAAAAAAACTTTATTTAGAAATCTCGGGGACAAATATTCACCAGCTGTGTTGAGTGTTTTCCGAGAGAGAGAGAGAACGCATTCAAAGGGTAGATGATAGTAAATAAAGAATGCAATCATAGATCACAAGAGCTTAGAGGAAAAAGATGAAGGGAGAAGAGGAGAGGGGAAGAGAAGTGAGGGAAGGGGAGGGGAGGTGATGGAGAGGTAAAGGGGAGAAGAGAGGTGATACCCAGTATTGGAAACCCAGAGTGATGGTAAACAAAGGCTAATGTATTGATTGGAGCCTACTGCGAGAGGTGAGGAAACATGTGATTGGAGCCTACTGGGACATGAGAGAGCCTGTGATTGGAGCCTACTGCGAGAGGTGAGGAAACATGTGATTGGAGCCTACTGGGACATGAGAGCCTGTGATTGGAGCCTACTAACAAGAGAGGGGTGATGTGATTGGTGGAAACTTCAGCTTGTCATTCCGTTTCTTGTGTAAATAATAATAATAATAATAATAATAATAATAATAATAAAACAATGAATAGTTGCTGAGAACAGGAGAGAGAGAGAGAGAGAGAGACACTATATCATCAGTTATCAGGCAGTGGAGGGTCAATTTTAAATATTTGTCTAAGGTGATGGGGGTCGAGGCGACGATCCAGCCTGGGAACTAAGGCACGGCACAACACCATCACAGCCTCCCTCTCCTCTCTCCTCACCTCCCTCTCCTCACCTCTTCCATCCTCCCTCCTCACCTCTTTCCATCCCTCCCTCTCTCCTCCTCCTCACCTCCTTCCATCCTTCCCTCCTCACTGCAATCCCTCCTTCGCCCCTTTACCTCCATCTCTCACCTTCCTTCCTCTCTTCTTCCTCCCTTCACCTCCATCCTTCCCTTCCTCACACTGTGGCTCACCCTCCCTTTATCTCTCTCTCTCCCTTCCTCCCTCCTTCCCTCCTACTCATTCTCATATATTTATACAACACTCTCACCATCCCTCCACACGCAATCACTCACATTTATACACAGTAAAAATAAAAATAAACACAAACTTATTTAAACATTTTACATATTATAAAACACAATAATACTTGAACACACACACACACACACACACACACACACACACACACACACAAGCAGTTCACAACAAGTTCACACCTATCTTGATTACGTAAACACATAACAAAAAATAAACATAATTAAGACAAGACTGGAGTATTTTTATTAGGGTGACGTCACAGCAGTTGCCACTCGAGGATAATTTACTGAGTGAGGATAATGGTGAGGTGTCGAGACGCTGCCCTAACCTGTCATAATATTTAGCCGGGAAACTTACCACTGCAGTCCTTCCCTCACTCCCTAGCTGAACGATGGGTGAGAACTGGTGAGGACTGGGGTGAGGACTGGTGAAGACTGGGGAGGACTGGGGTGAGGACTGGGTGAGGACTGATGAGGACTGGTGAGGACAGGAGATGACTGGTGAGGACTGGGAAGACTGGTGAGGACTGGGGAAGACTGGTGAGGACTGGGGTGAGGACTGGGGTGAGGACTGGGTGAGGACTGGTGAGGACTGGTGAGGACAGGAGATGACTGGTGAGGACTGGGGTGGGAACTGGTGAGGACTGGGTGAGACTGGAGACTGGGGAGGACTGGGGTGAGGACTGGGTGAGGACTGATGAGGACTGGTGAGGACAGGAGATGACTGGTGAGGACTGGGAAGACTGGTGAGGACTGGGGAAGACTGGGTGAGGACTGGGGTGAGGACTGGGTGGACTGGTGAGGACTGGGGACAGGAGATGACTGGTGAGGACTGGGGAGACTGGTGAGGACTGGGGAAGACTGGTGAGGACTGGTGAGGACAGGAGATGACTGGAGATGACTGGTGAGGACTGGGGAAGACTGGTGAGGACTGGAGAGGACAGACCACAACTCAAGATTTTATTATTGACTTCATATCTGCATTAAAGGAGCGTATCTGGTGTATATAAAGAGTCGGGTTAGGTTAGGTTAGGTTAGGTTAGGTTAGGTTAGGTTAGGTTAGGTTAGGTTAGTCTTTAGGTGAAATAAACTTGAGCGGAGCTTCTTCATGTGATCCAAAAACTAAACTGTTAATAGTGAATCTTAAAGACGATTCCTGAAATAATGTCAGTAATTTAAGCTTGCGGAGGTCAGGTTAGGTCAGCGAAACCTCCCATCATCAGAAGCTATTTACTGCGGCACTGAAGAAAGGTCAGATTAGGTCAGGTCAGGTCATGGGATCATTAGAGAGAGATCATCACCATGGCACCGAATGAATGAGTCAGATCACAGGAGGGAAGGGGAAGGGAAAGAGGGGAGGAAGGGGGGAGAGAGAAGGAGGAGGAGAGGTGGGAGAGGGAGAGGTGAGGGGGTGTGCAGATCAACCACAGGCATCAACCAACACCACCATAATCAGATAGCGGACTCCCCAACACCGACTAATTACCATAAACTTAGAATAAATCAATACACAAGGAGAGAGAGAGAGAGAGAGAACAATTTATGATTTCTTGCATTGTTATGGCTACAAAAGGCGTTTATATACACAATATTTTTCTTCTTCCTTGTGTATGTTGTGTATGAGGTACACACTCTTTCTCTCTCTCTCTCTCGGATGGTGGTGGGTGTTGATGCTACACTAAGAACGACGTATAAAGTATCAAGCATCAGTGAAGAACATCGGTCAGTGCCAAATAGTGCCACATCCAACACGTCACTCATGAAATTATTAAACACCATGGCACACTCATGGGGACCCTTCATAACCATTACTACATATATATATACACTCTGAGATGATCCTCCAGCCTCTGCCTCTCCCTCTGCCTCTCCCTCTCCCTCCTTCTCCCTCCCTCTCTCCCTCTCTCCCTCGTTCATCAGTCATCCCATTCCAGCCTGTGCTTGAGAGAGAATGTTTGGTGTGACGCAGAGATTAAATATTAAGTGTTGGAGGAAGAGGAGGAGGAGGGTAAAGGAGAAAGAGGAGGGATGAAGGAGGAAGAAGGATAAGAGAAGGATGAGAACGAGGAATAGGAAGAGTAATGGGAAGAGGGAGAAGAGGAATAATAGGAGGAGAAAGATAGTCAGAAAGAGAAGGACGAGGACAAGAGGAGGAGAAGGAAGGACAGGAGGAGGAAGAAAAGAACAAGGAGGAGGAGGAGGAGGAGAAGGAGGGACAGGAGGTGGAAGATAACGAGTAAGAAGAAGTGGGAGGAGGAGGAGGAGGAGGAAGAGTGCACCTGGTGACTGGCGGAGGCTATAGGCACCACAAATCACTGCTCGGGTCATCTGAGTTGAAAAGGTCAGGAGCTGGTTTATTGTGTTGACAGAACCTGATGTTGCTGCGGCTGCCTCCCACAACACTACTGCAGCCCCACACCGAGGGAGGGAGAGAGGGAGGGAGGGGGAGAGAGAGAGGCAGGGGAGATGATGGGAAGAGGGGAGAAGGAGGGAAAGGGGAAGAGGGCGAAAAGGGGGGAAGCAGAAAAAGATGGGAGGAGTAGAGATGGAGGGAAGAGGATTAAAGGGTAGAAAGGGAAGAGATAGAGGAGAAAGAATGGAGTGAAAGAGAGGGAGAGAAGTGATATACGAGTACAGGTAAGACGACCGGAAGAGGGAAGGAAGGAAGGACGTAAGGAAGGGGGAAGGAAAAGGGAGGAGGAAAGAGGAGGTACGAGAGGTGAGATAGAAGAAAGAAAGAAAGAAAGAGAGGGATGGGAGGATGGTAGGAACAGAAAATAAATAAAAAAAGAGAAAAACGTGAGGAATAATGGGACGGAAGGAGGAAGGAAGGAGGAAAGGAGAGGGACTTCACCCTGCCTCGGTGTCGAAGTTTTGGTAAGAGCGCCACTCAACTAGGAGAGGAGGAGGAGGAAGAGGAGGAGGAGGAGGAGGAAGAAGAAGAAGAAGAGGAGGAGGAAGAGGAGGAGGAGGAGGAGGAGGAGGAGGAGGAGGAGGAGAAAGAGAAGGGAGGATGAGAAGAAGAAGGTGGAGGAGGAAAGGAGAGGGGAAGAAATGTGGATGGAGTGTGAGAAGGTGGTTAGGAAAGGACAGGAAGGCGGGAGTGGCGAGGTTGGGTAATAAGAACCTGAGGTAGATCTACAGTCTACATTGTTTACATCTGATGGTACACAGTTGTTGTTTAGATCCTGTGAGTGTACGTACATGTGTAGGTGTAATTGTTTGTTCCTGAGTATGTACACATTACTTCCCCCTGAAAGAACTCCCCCTCCCCTTCTTTTCTTTACCACCCCCCTACCACCTCCAGCCGCCCCCTCCCCTCTCCCCACGTGGCCAATTTAAATATTTACATCAGTCCTCATTACTTAGCTGGGTGCATGTCCTCTATCACCAGCTGTGGCCACCTGCTGGAGTATAATGTGATGTGGGGGGTAGAGTTGTGGTAGTTGGGGGGGGGTGTTGATGGGTGGGGAACTGAAAGGGGGGTGGTTATGGCGGGGACTAAGTGGGGTATGGTAGTGGTGGTGGAGTAAAGGAACGTTGATGGAACAGTCACGGAACTTTTTTCCATGAACGACTGTCTCTCGATCCCACCCAAGACTCTCTCTCTCTCTCTCAACAAGTGAGGGTGGCCCGGAGTCTAACCTGCACTGTTATTCACATGTTGCTTCGTGTCAATTAGTGAATGGTTGTCTCTATTACGCTGTCCTCACCTGTGGAGTGTTAGGGTTGGGTGAGGGCTGCTGTGTTCACCTTAGGGGCTGTTATGTGGACCTTAAGGGCAGTTATGAGGCTTTTGTGTTGACCTTAAGAGCTGTTGTGTTGACCTTAAGGGCTGTTGTGTTGACCTTAAGGGCTGTTGTGTTGACCTTAAGGGCTGTTGTGTTGACCTTAAGGGCTGTTGTGTTGACCTTAAAGGCTGGCGTGTTGACCTTAAGGGGTGGAGTGTTGACCTTAGGGGTAGTGTGTTGACCTAAAGGGGTGCTGTGTTGACATTAGGAGATGTTGCACTGGCCTTAAGGCTGTTAGTGGATGTTATATTGACCTTAAGAGATATTAGGGGCTTTTATGTTGACCTTAAGGGCTTTTGTGTTGACCTTAAGGGCTTTTTTGTTGACATTAAGATCTTTTGTGGTGACCTGCAGTGGGTCTCAGTAGCCCATTGAGGACACTGTAAACAAAACCTTCGGCACTGCACTCGACCCTCTACACTTCCTCACCTGTAAAGTCAGGTATATACAATTATCCGTACAAAATACATACATACACACATACATACACACATACACGCATACATACACATACATGCATACATATATGGGTAGATTGAGTAGAAGGTTGACCAGGGAGCGAACCAGGGAACCTCAGGACGGGAAGCGAGTACAGTACCAACAGACATGACTGTAATATAGTTTAGTGTTTTTGCATTAGTTAATATAGCAAAGGGAACATAAATTTCCTAGTGGTGTTGGTGGAGTAATGTAGGTGAGGAGGTGGAAGAGTGGTGGTGATGGGTGGAGGAGGTGGAGGGGAGTGATTGAGGAGAAGGGTGGACTAGAAGTGGTGGAAGAAGAGGGTGGAGTAATGGTGGAGGAGGAAGGTAGAGTGGAAGTGGGTGGAACAGTTGAGGGAGTAGAGGGGGTGAAGTAGAGGTAGTGGAGAGGAGGTGGAGTAGAGGAGGAATTGGGTGGAGTAGAGGAGGAATTGGGTGGAGTAGAGGAGGAAATGGGTGGAGTAGATGAGGAAGTGGGTGGAGTAGGGTAGTGGAAGAGGAGGGTAGAGTGGGAGGAAGTGGGTGGAGTAGAAGAGGTGGAGTAGAGATGGTGGAGAGAGGATGGAGTAGAGGAGGAAGTGGGTGGAGTGGAGGAAGTGGGTGGAGTAGAGGTAGTGGAAGGAGGGTAGAGTAGAGGAGGAAGTGGGTGGAGTAGAAGAGGGTGGAGTATAGGTAGTGGAAGAGGAGGGTGGAGTAGAGGAGGAAGTGGGTGGAGTGAGAGGGAGGAGAGTGGGTGGAGTAGAGGGAGGAAATGGGTGGAGTAAGGGGAAGTGGGTGGAGTAGAGGGAAGGTGGAGGAGGTGGGTGGAGTAGAGGAGGTGGAGGAGGAAGTGGGTGGAGTAGAGGAAGGTGGAGGAGAAAGTGGGTGGAGTAGAGGAGGTGGAGGAGGAGGGTGGAGTAGAGGAGGAGGGTGGAGGTGGGTGGTGATGTGGCCGACTGTGTGTGTGATCCTGGTGGGTCAGTTCACAGCCTCCTAGCCACCCAGAAACCCCCTCCCCTCTTCATCCTCACCCATCCTCTTCCTCTTCATCTTCTTCCTCCTCTCCCTCCCACTCCTCCCCCCATCAGTCTTCTCCCACACCTCCTTTCCCTCCTCCTCTCCCACCTCCTCTCCCACCCTCCTCTCCCTCTCTCCCCACCTCTCTCCCCACCTCCCTCTCCCCCTCACTACTCTCCCACTGCCTCCTCTCCCCCTCCCTCTCCCACCTCCTCTCCCACCCTCCTCTCCACCTCCTCCCACACCTCCCTCTCCCACCTCTCCCCACCTCCCTCTCCCCACCTCCTCCCACACACCTCCTCTCCCCACCTCCCCTCCCACATTCCTCCCCACACCTCCTCTCCCACCCCTCCTCTCCCCCACCTCCCTCTCCCCACCTCCCTCTCCCACCTCCCCTCTCCCCACCTCCCTCTCCCCACCTCCTCTCCCCACCCTCCCCTCTCCCACACCTCCCCTCTCCCACCTCCCTCTCCCACCTCCCTCTCCCCCCTCTCTCCCCCACCTCCCCTCTCCCACCTCCCCTCTCCCACACCTCCCTCTCCCCACCTCCTCTCTCCCCTCCCACTCCTCTCCCTCCCTCCCTCTCCCCTCCTCTCTCCCACCTCCTCTCCCAAGCACTCCTCTCCCGCACTCCTCTCCCACACCTCCTCTCCCAAGCCTCCTCTCCCCTCACTCCTCTCCACCTCTTCTCCCTCCTCCTCTCCCACTCCTCTCCCACCTCCTCTCCCACCTCCCCTCTCCCACACCTCCTCTCCCACCTCCCTCCCCACACCTCCTCTCCCACACCTCCTCTCCCACCTCCCTCTCCCCTCCTCCTCTCCCCTCCTCCTCTCCCTCCTCCTCTCCCTCCCTCCCCTCTCCCCACCTCCCCTCCTCTCCCACTCACTCCCTCTCCCCACCTCTCTCCCACCTCCCTCTCCCCACCCTCCTCTCCCCTCCTCTCCCCACACCTCCCTCTCCCACCTCCTCCCTCTCCCCCCTCCCTCTCCCTCCCTCCCACCTCCCTCTCCCCTCCCTCTCCCTCCTCCTCTCCCCCTCACCTCCTCTCCCCCCTCCCTCCTCCTCCCTCCCTCCCCTCTCCCCTCCTCTCCCCACCCTCTCCCCCTCTCTCCCCACACCTCCTCTCCCATCACTCCTCCCCCCTCCTCCTCCCCACTCCTCCTCTCCCCTCCTCCTCCCCACTCCTCCTCTCCCCTCCCTCTCTCCCTCACTCCTCTCCACTCCTCCTCTCCCTCACTCCTCTCCCACCTCTCTCCCTCCTCTCCCACTCCTCTCCCACCTCCTCTCCCACCTCCTCTCCCACCTCCTCTCCCACACCTCCTCTCCCACACTCCTCTCCCACCTCCTCCCCCTCCTCTCCCCTCCTCCCTCTCCCTCCTCTCCCCTCTCCCTCCTCTCCCACCTCCCTCCCCCACTCCCTCCCTCTCCCCTCCTCTCCCCTCCCTCCCTCTCCCCCTCCTCTCCCTCATCACAGTAATCAAGCCAGATCCATTGTTATACGCTTATGTCTTTAAACCTCTTTATCTTAGTTGCTGTCTTTGTTATCTTTATTTTATTGTCTTCTTTATGTTTTATTTACTAGTTCTTATTTTTTTATTATTGTATTTTTTTCTTTATCGTTTTATTATTATTATTATTATTATTATTATTATTATTATTATTATTTTTTTTTTTTTATATTGTTTTACACACACACACACACACACACACACACACACACACACACATGAACAACCTCAACAGTTCGGTAAGAAGGAAGGAGATGATAAAAGAGACGACTGGACAAGCATTAGCCTAGGCAGACTAAGATGAAATCCTAAACGGAACCGAAACCAAACGATCTCTTAAACTCTCTCGAGAAGGTAAATAAAAGCTGAAGAAAACAATGAAAAATAACACAGACATTTTAGATAAAGCTGAACCACAGTATTAATGTACCAACACCACCACTCACGGTAGGCAATTTAGTTTTGTGCATTTTGATTACGACTGAACGTCTCTCTCTCTCTCTCTCTCCCTCAGGTCAGTCGCTACAAACCCTCTGGTAATATAGTCGGAAAATGTTACCCAAATCGTCAAGTTACTGCATATAGAGCCTGGACCTGTTTTTTTTTTGCCCACCAGGGCACAGGTCAATGACCCACATCAGAGACTCAGAGGTGTAATATGTGTATGTATATGTGTATGTGTGTGGTGGTAATGTGTGTGTGTGTGGTGTGGTGTGTGTGTGTGTGTGTGTGTGTGTGTGTGGTGGTGGTGGTGTGGTGGTGGTGGTGGTGGTGGTGGTGGTGTGGTGGTGTGGTGGTGTGTGGTGTGTGGTGTGGTGTGGTGGTGGTGGTGGTGTGGTGGTGGTGGTGGTGGTGGTGTGTGGTGTGTGTGTGTGTTTTTTTTTTTTTTTTTTAATAATAATAATAATAATAATAATAATAATAATAATAATAATAATAATAATAATAATAATAATAATAATAATAATAATAATAATAATAATAATAATAATAATAATAATAATAATAAACGGTTTATTGAAAAAGTTTTGCAGCCCGAAGGCTGAAAATATACTGTACATTGGACATACAGTAAATGACTTATTACATACATTGGTGGTTTAACAAAAGCCTTCATTAGAGAAAGGTAAAGGAACATACAGTGAACATACAGATTAATGTTTACAGTGGAGGCCACGTATATCATGTGAGCTGAGGTGTTGAACAGCAGACACGTAGTGTAGTAACTCCCTCACAGATGGTGTTATGAGGGGCCTGTGAGGTGTGTGTGTGTGTGTGTGTGTGTGTGTGTGTGTGTGTGTTTATTGTGGCGTGGTGTGGTGTGGCGTGTATCTTATGTAATGCTAGCTGGGTACTTCACATGATAGCTCGGGTTTGTCTACTGGAGTAATCTCGTTACAAGAGGCCAGCTGGCGGGTCTGGGTGTTGCTGGAGAAAAGAAACAGTAACACAAAGAACCTCCTGGGAACAATGGCCACCACCACCATCATCATCTGCTTCTTTTGTTACTCGTCTCCGGTGCCGTACTGTCTTTACTAACTCCTGTACTGTTCGTCGGCTTGTGAATCTGTTTTGTTTTATAATCGTAGTACGTAATTGATACTTAGATAAATATATTATATTTCCCGTATAATTTGTCTTTGCTATCACATTACTGTGTCCTGAGGCAGTACATTACAACGGAAATAATGCTAAAAACAGTGTGTGTGTGTGTGTGTGTGTGTGTGTGTGTGAGTGTGTGAGTGTGTGTGTGTGTGTGTGTGTGTGTGTGTGTGTGTGTGTGTGTGTGTGTGTGTGTGAGTGTGAGGTGTGAGTGTGTGTGTGTGTTTGAAAGAACACACAGGCACTCCTCCCCCCTTCCTACAATCGCCTAGAGAGAATTGGGAGTCATCATCCAAGTTAGGATGGAGTGTTATTAGCTCCGTGTGAGAGATGAGGGTCTCTTGTCTCCTCCCTGTCTCTCTTGGTCTCTCAGTTAAAGGAGACATTGTTTAACCTACCACCTTAACTGATTGGGTTTGGACCATTGACTAACAGGAGTAACGAGGGGGTTAAGTAATGATAACTAATGAACAACAGGATTATATTACACCTTACCTCACAGAACAACAGTAGCCAACAGATTTACACAACTCACAGAACAACAGTAGCCAACAGATTTACACAACTCACAGAACAACAGAAACCAACAGGATAACTAAACGACTCACAGAACAACAGAAACCAACAGAATAACTAAACGACTCACAGAACAACAGTAGGCAACAGGAGAGGAGGCCAACTAAGACAACGACAAAGGAGGAGAGGCAAGAAGACTCCCAGCTTCCCAACAACACAGTCAGCACGTTGAGGTCTGTCTCGGGTAGCTCTCGCACGTTGGGGCATTAGGCCTTTATGGCACACTAATACCTACTCCCGTTCGTCTTCCTCATAATATTTCTCTTCCTCTTCTTCCTGCTTATATTACTCCTCCTCATAATACTCCCCTTCGTCTTCCTCATAATATTCCTCTTCCTCTTCTTCCTGCTTATATTACTCCTCCTCATAATACTCCCCTTCGTCTTCCTCATAATATTCCTCTTCCTCTTCTTCCTGCTTATATTACTCCTCCTCATAATACTCCCCTTCTTCCTGTTCTCTCCTGTTCATACACCTTCTCCTCTTTCTCCTATTTCTCGGTCACTTCTCACTCGTGCTTCTCCCCATCCCCTCCCATCGGTCTCTTCCCATCTCCTCGGTCTCTTCCCCTCTCCTCGGTCTCTTCCCCTCTACTCGATCTCCACCCCTCTCCTCCTCGGTTTACCCCCTTCTCCTCCTCGGTCTCCTCCTCCTCGGTTTCCCCCTTCTTCTCCTCGGTTTCCTCCTCCTACTCGGTCTCATCCTCCTTCTCGGTCTCCTTCTCCTCCTCGGTCTCCTTCTCCTCCACCTTCTCGCCCTGGCCACTGTGTCGCGGGACAAACATATGTGACCATTGATTATTATTAGTAGACTCTTAAACATTTTTTTTCTTAAATTATCACATAGATACAAAAAAAGAACTATCTATTCATTTATCCATCCCTTAACCCTCCCCTTCTATCCGTCCCTAAGCCCTCCCCCTTTTATCCATCCCTTAACCCTCCCCCTTCTATCCAGCCCTAAACAAAAATAAACCACTTCTTGAGATTTTTAAGTGCCACTCATGCATATTAAATTTCCTTCTGCAGATATCTAAATTTAGTCACTACACATGTACATTGTATTCTGGTATGCCTCAAAAGCCTGATATACACGCCGGTATGCCTTCTAAGCTTGATATACTCACCAGTATGCCTCCAAAGCCTGATATACACACCGGTATGCCTTCTAAGCTTGATATACTCGCCGGTATACCCTCAAAAACCTCTTGAGAGTAAGGTTAAGCGCGTCATTAAAATAATATCCTTTCAACTAAGAGACTCTGGTCCAAGAATTACCACCGTCGTTGAGATCATTTTCATCAAGGGATACCAGCACTATTAGCTCGTTTGGTCCGCCTTATTGAATTCCAGAGAGAGGTCAGGTCAGGGTAAGTTAGATTAGGTTAGGAGAAGTAACAGGGTAGGGCAGGGCAGGCAGGGCAGGGCAGGGTAGGGCAGGCAGGGCAGGAGAGGAGCAGGGCAGGGCAGGTTGGGCAGGAGATCAGGGTGAGAGGATAGGGCAGTGCACGTCAGAGAGGAGTGTAAAGGGAGGTTAGAGGGGCAGGAATATGGCAGGAGGTTAGGGCAGGGATATGGCAGGAGGTTAGGGCCAGGTATGGCAGGAGGTTAGGGCAGGAGTTAGGGCAGGGGCAGGGTATGGCGGGAGGATGGGCAGGGTATGGCAGGGAGGTTAGGGCAGGGTATGGCAGGAGGTTAGGGCAGGTATGTGGGAGGTTAGGGCAGGAGTTAGGGCAGGTGGGGTGGCAGGAGGTTAGGGCAGGAGTATGGCAGGGAGGTTAGGGCAGGAGTAGGGTGGTAGGGCAGAGTAGAGAGGGTATAGGACAGGACACGTCAGGGAGGGTAGGTCAAGGGAAGTTACAGCAGCGCAGGTCAGGTTGTCACGGAAGGACCTGGAATGAGGGAGGGTCAGAGTTGGCCGCCAGTAGCTAGTGGCAGAAAAAAATGTCGCTTGAGAGTGCAATACTCCTTCCCAGTCATAATAGTGCCATATACGCTCCCGGTTTGTTTGTGTGTGTGTGTGTGTGTGTGTGTGTGTGTGCGTGTGTGTGTGTGTGTGTGTGTGTGTGTGTGTGTGTGTGTGTGTGTGCCCTCGTGATAGACACCACTAATTGTGTTATACTGCCGCTGGCTATGACAAGAGCGACTACTTGGCACCCTGGACCTGACGGCACCTGTCTGGCCCTTACTGCCCAAACTGTATATTATTATTTTTTTCTGTATCTGCTTACTAACACACACACACACACACACACACACACACACACACACCACCCACAAGGGGAGAATCTCTTCTTAATTTCAGCACCGACTCTTTCATTAAAAAGAAATCCCGGACTTAACTCTTTATAAGGAAAAAAAACAATCTTGTACAACCATTTTTACCCCATGATGTAAATGATGTTCATATATCATGTTAAATAAAAAGATTATTACCGTATAAAAGACGGACACACAGACAGATAAAGACAGACTCTCCTCTTGAAGCAAAACACATTTTACAGTTACGTTTACTGTTACCTCAAATGAGTCTTAAAAGAAAATGGTCTTTACTTGACTTCCGTCTTAAAGAAGTAAAGATGAATGTACAGGAGGTCCTCTCTTGTCCCAGCTTCCCTCCTCTTCCACCGTCTCCTGCTCCACCTCCTCCACCGTCTCCTCTTCCTCTTCACTGTCTCCTCCTCCTGTCTGCTCCTCCCTCTTTCACTTCCCCCTGTCTCCCCTCCTCCGTCTCCTCTTCACTTCCCGGTCTCCTCCTCCGTCTCCTCTTCCCTCTTCACTTCCCCATCTCCTCCTCCGTCTCTCTTCCCTTCACTTCCCCGCCTCCTCCACCGTCTCCTCTTCCTCTTTCACTTCCCCCCCCTCCTCCGTCTCCTCTTCCTCTTCACTTCCCCTGTCTCCTCCAAGGATCTCTGGCACTCCGGCAGTGGTAATCCTATCACAGCCTTTTAAGCTCTTAAAGTTGTCCTCCCCCCATACAGTCCTCCTTTACCTTTCCTCCTCCGTCATACAACTCTCCTCACCTCTTTCCTACATCTTTGGCCATCCAGTCCTCCTCATCCTCCTCCCTGCACATAAAATCCTCCTCCTCTTCCTCCCCATCTTCACTATCCACGTCCCTCACTTTCCCGTTCCTCATACCTCCCCCTCCCTCCCTCCTTCCATCTTCACCCTCCCTTCCCTCCATCTTCACCCTCCCCTCCTCCCATCTTCACCCTCCCCCAGTCCCTCTCAATTCACCTTCCCTTCCTTCCACCATCCCCCTCACCCCTCCTTCCATCTTCACCCTCCTT